AAACAAACATCTTAATGCACAATAACTATTACAATTGACATATATATATATATATATATATACTTCCCATCAATTTCCATATTAGTTGGGAATGATATTTGATTCATTGTTCCAACCTCACTCAATCATTTCTCACCTTCACCTTTGAATAGATAGATACCTATACTATTATCTATATCAATTTTCATTAACCACTTTCCATAAATACTGAACGCTATTTTTGTCTTATTTAACAAGAAAAGCATCTTCCTGTATTTTTCTCCCCTTAAACATAATCTTTGTGGTTGTATAAACTTTAACTTGGGTTATATTTCTTATATATAAGTTAGCAATAACATTGCTGTTACGTAATCAGTTTCTATATTATTCAATAATATTGTTCATTTATTGATCTGTGTGAATAAAATAGAGAGAAAAGCCATGACAGTATACATTGGTTTATCTACTCCAAAGTATCTCTTTCAAGGAGGTTTCCCATAATCCTTAAAAGGAAGCCACTCTTTTTCTACTTGGTTTGTTGTCTTGTTGTTAGTTAAGAATGTCAGTTTGTCTAATTTTTTCATATCTTAACTGAACAGTTGTAAAGAACGTCTCTATCTTTTTAATTGCATGTCACTTTTCGGCTTGCAGGGCCAAGAGGATACCTTTGGTTTTCGGTGGAGAGTTCATCCTTAGCATGACTTTTGCAGGTGTTGCATCTACCTGTTTATTGTAGTTTCTAAGAGTTGAGCTGAACTCTTAGCGGAAGAGTCAGCATTCAATGTAAAGGAAAAATTCCACCTTCACACAAACATTTAATTAATTTGTCAACTCCCCGCAGAGACTTACGATTAATTTCCATGGCATAGACTGCACAGCATTCAGAAAGCATAGAATGAAGAGAGAAAGACAAAAAAAATATTAAAATAAAAAGGGAAAGTGGTTGGAAGAGGGAAGGTTGAGAACAAAAGAATAATAAGTAAAGGAAAGCTCATGGTTGACGATAACATAGCTCCTCGGCTGCCAGAGAAAGATAAGACCCTCAAATATTATAACAGGCAAGATACACGCTCCGAAACAATGGCTCTGTCAGGATTCCAGAATGCTCTGCAATTTCCTTTTCTCTTTGTCTTTCCAAAACATTATGTACAACGGCGCATTTGCGGCAATCAAAAGAGAATTACAAAAGGCTGTTGGCAGATGATCATGTAAAATATTCGAGCAATTTCAATTATGTAAGGATGACGCAGGGATGGTTCTCACCGCAAGCACAAAACACCATAAAGGAAATGGCATGGGATGGAGGGATGGCCTGGCCATGCCTGAGAACAATTTTTGGTTTTTTGGGAGGTGGTGCTACCTGGGAAGAAACAGGAGAGTCCCATTGTCAGGGGGACCAGACGTCATGACCACAAGGACATTCAAGAAAAATGGAGGACATGACCAAATAAAATCTAAAAGCATTCATATCAATATAAATGCATGCTTCTTAGTCATGCTCAAAATGGAGAACATTTTGGAATTCCTCCTGGACAGAAGGTTTAAATGGGGGACATGTCCTGGAAAAGGAAGGCATTTGGTCACTCTGCCCTTTTGGGGCTGGCCCTGGAGACCAAGGGCTCATAGACAAGAAAGACAGGTCCCTGGAAGGGTCAAGCTATGGATCGTTCCAGGTCCAGAACCGAAAGAGGGATGCCTGTTCATGGGAATGTTCTGCAGGCATGGCACCCACTCCATAACCCACCAAAGGCTGGAATTGTTTAATAAACAATGTTCTCAGGGAGCTGGATTATGGGCTAAATCCAACATGATGCTTCTGATGGCATCCTTTCAGAGCTCTCCAGAAAATAGTTCCAAAGAATTCTGCAGAACTCCTACAGAAGAGATTTTTTGGAGGGGAGATTACGCTGTGCATTCTCCTCACTTCCACTCTTGCTTGAATGAGAGTCTCGAAATGGTTACAGCTCTAGAGATAGGATTTTTCCATACAGGCAAAAGAGACGGGATAATAACGGTATAATAGCACAATGCTCCTGTCATTATCACGCAATTTGGTGAAGATTTTCAGACGACGTTGTGTGACGTTGCAATAGTCCCACCATTATCCCATGAACAGTGGCATTTTCCAGCCGCTTTTCATTCACGGGATTTTCTTTGTTCATGGGATAATGGCAGGATTATTGTAAAGTCGTCTGAAAATCTTCACCAAATTGTGTGATAATGATGGGAGCATTGCACTATTATCCTGTTATAATAATAATAATAATAATAATAGTAATAGTAATAGCCATCTTGACTGATATTGCTGGACCACACTTGTCCAGTTTACCTCCATGAAATGTTAGACTGTATGAGATCTTTGAAAAATTTTTATATGACACTTCTGTTGGTGAGAAATTTCACATTTATAACATGCATTATCCCTTCCCCTTTGGATGTGTGGTATGTGTGGGAAAGCTATGTCTTTCCTCTTTTGTACAATTGAGCAAACACACACACACAAAAAACAACACCCCAAAACGCAATTTCCTAAAAGGAAAAACATGTAATGAAGTCATACTGTAATATACCAAAACAATGGCATGATAGAACAACTATCACACACATTAAAGTGGTGTGATTAAGTCTAATTTTGAGAGATGTGAGTGAATATTTAGAAAACTAACAGGCCAGTCCTATACATGTCTACAAAAAGGGAAACACCATTAAATTCTAAGGGATTTATTCACAGGTTAAGAGAGTATAGGATTGTAGCCTTAAAAGAGGCTTTTGTGTGTGTACAAAAGGGAGGGAAAGGGTGGATTCTGAACTTTAAAAAGAAATATTCACTTTCTTTTTACTCTGCACAACAAATTGAATCACCCTAGGGCAGGAGTGTGCAACTGTGGTAGCAATGGGGACACATTTTCGCCCTCATGACCCTCTCTGGTCGATCACACCAAGGTACTAAAACCCATTTTTTTAAAAAATATATTTTCCCAAGCAATTTGTGTCTCTACCCAACCTCCCCAAATGGCTCAAAAACACAGCAAGATGTGGCAATCGCGCTCCCCAAAAAAGCTACTAAAAGGAAAAAATAAAATAAAACAAAACAATTGCCTGCAAGTCACATGAAACAGAAAATGAATGAGATCACTTCTGGTTTTGATTTTGGTGGATATGAGGGCAAAGTTTTGGCTTTTTCAGGGTTTTCAAAGTAATCCCAAGTGCTCCCCAATAACTCAAAAAGCCACTAGAAGGAAAAAATAAAATAGAATCAAATAATTGCCTGCAAATCACATGAAAGAGAAATAGGAAGTGAGTGAGATCATTTTCTGGTTTTGCTTTCAGCTGATTTTTGGCCAAGTTTATGGCTTTTGTGGGGTTTTCAAAGTATCTATATGTGGGTGTGGGGGTGAGAGTTGAGCCATTTTGGGGAGGGAAGGGGTGAAAAATTGCTTGGGGAGATTTATCTATTTTTCCTGTGGGTCTTGGTGTTTGAGGAGGTTTCAGGGTCTCATCTTTGGGGACCTTCAAGGGGATCTTCACACTCTCCTGCCCTAAGGCGATGCCACCATTGAGGGAGATGATGCTGTCCACCACAAAGATAGAAACAAGGCTATGAGAGTAATGTTGGTTCCAAATTAAAATAGGAAACATTGATTAATTTGGATCTGATCATCTGCCTCGGAAACAGGAAACAGAATCTTACTATGAATTCTGCTCTTACGGTCTATCTGGTCAGCAAACACCTCTCCGTAGATCATCCAGTAGGGCATGTAGAAGATATTACGGGCCAAGCGCCAAGATGGTTCCTCATCGGGATGCAGGATGGCCTGTCGGGCGACTCCAAAGCTCATCAATACCACCAGCATGATCACCACGAAGTACAGCATGTCTATCATCTGTAGAGGGATAGAGCCCAGTGCAATTTGGGAATAAGATTTTTGAAAATGCCAATATCTGATTTGCCTGTATGCAACTCAAAAGGGTGGTCATGCTTGGATCCTGAATTGGCAACCCCTTGATCCCAGTTAAGAAACATTTTCTTCATTAATATCTTTTGCCGTCCTGACCACACTCTGATATTGCTTGGACACACGTGTCCTGTTTTTCATTTGTGAAATGTTGGAAGACAACTGTCAACTTATGGTGACCCCATGAATTTCATAGGGTTTTCATAGGCAAGGAATACTCAGAGGTGGTTTTGCCAGTTCCTTCCTCTGATTATAGGCTACAGCACTTGGTCTTCATTGGTGATTTCCTGTCCAAGTATTAACCAAGACTGATTCTGATTAGCTTCCAAGATCAGATGGGATCTGGTGCCTTCAAAGTATTTATGTGTGCCTATGTGCCTTCACGTCAAATGCCCGCCTGAGCATAAAAATCCACTGAGTGACCTTAGGCAAGTCACACTCTCTCAGGCTCAGAGGACGGCAAGGGCAAACCTCTTCTGAAGAAACTTTCCAGGAAAACCCTATGATAGGTTCACCTTAGGGCTGCCAGAAGTTAAAAATAACTTGGAGGCATACAGCAACAACAGTCTAGAAACATACGCACACATGTTATTGACTGCTTGTTCTGTATTTCCATTGTGTGCCCTTTTAATGCAAACTCTAACTCTTGTTCCCTCTCTTGGTTTTAGCACAGAGTTACGCACCA